GAAAGCGGGGATTCTGACACAGTGTATTTCAACTATATTACGAACTGTTTTTTTATTTTATTTGCATTTCGAAGCTTATGGTAATTCTTTTTTCTCTTGAGTACTGAACCGCAGATTAAGGGGAACCGCTGATTCTGAGTCAGCGGATACGGGGCACGAGTTGGCTCTAGTAACAGTAGTATTTCTATAGTATAGCATAAGAAACGTGTACTGTATTACTAGTAGTATGCAGTATATCTTGACACATTAAAACTATGATATGAAAAACGTAAATAAAGTTAGCAAGTGTAATGTTTTATGCCTTAAGACTTTTGCACAAATTAATTCACCTCTAATTCCCAAATCAATGGGATTGAAGCGTTATGAATTCTTGACTGTGTTGCGAGGAGGGAGCTGTAAAAATAGTGTTGAAAGATGAACCCAAAACAATTCAGAGTTCTACACAGCTTCACCATCCTGGGTGTCTGAATATTCATAGCTGTCCATTTAACATTGTCACTTAGGTAAAAGTATTGCTGTGCTGTGACTGAAGATTTCTCGAACTTGTGACTGTAAAAGTTTGAATATAATGTAAAAAGGATTACGAAAATTTCAATGACGGAATTTATAAAAGTCTCGAGAAACTTATACACGAAATTTTTGCATTTTAATTGCATTCATTTTCGTATCTATTAGTCTATTTGTTAAGTAAACTTTTAAACTCATTGAACACAGCATTTTGTAATTTAATACTCACTCTGCTATGCAGATGTACATAAAAAATTATGAAAATTTGTAGTCCCGTGTAATTACGTTTGTTGAAATTGTCGAACTGGCAATCACATGTAATTAAATTTATAGAAATATTTAGACAAAGATAAAGCATCAATTTATGGGCAGTGGACAACTTTATCATTTTCAGAGAGTATAGTATTTCCGAACATTGTATAAATTGCCTTGCTCCACTCTCTCAACAGTGCATTGGCATTGCTGAAGTTTGGTTTGATGAAAAAGATATTCATTTTTATTATTTTCCAATAGTCCTTTCATTTACAATAACTCAGCATAAATATATATTTACACTGTAAGCAAAGTTCATATATGAATATAATATACGAAAGATTCGCTAGGGATGTTGCATGAAAGGGACAACATTTGACAAAATTACAGTAGTTCTAAAAATATTCGGGAAGATAAATTGATAAATTATTTATAAAAATAATCTTTTCATACAGGTTGAAAATAGCTATACTACTCGCTAAAAATTGGAAGAGTATGAAGGCATCATAGTGTAACATTTAGGACACTAAGCAGGATCACTTACATATAAATAACAAATGAGGTATTAAAAACCAGTAGCGGCATTTTTAACATTCTGTGAAGAATAATAAAGTTTGCTTGAATTTAAAAAATATCAGATGATTCTATACCGAATATGTAACACCAGTGAAACCAGATCGTACGATTTTTCGCTAATTTGCTACTTTCTGTGCGACTAAAATTATGCGTATGCAACTTTGCGAAATTTTTGTTACTCCACCATTGCCTTCTGCTACTGTTTGCGACTTTAAGTTTTCTTTAATATATCTTAAAACGCTTATATCTTAAAATAATCTATCAACTAAAATTAATTTACAATAAATAAATAACTAAGCATTTATTTGGGCTAAACAGAAGTTGGTATGTCGCAATTCTGAGATCAAAGAGCAGGTGCAAACAGTTTTTAGCGAAATTCTCTGGTGTTTTCATACCTTTCGCTGATTGCTTTGTTTAATCTTTGAAGTTTGTCAATAAGCAATGCAACTGTAGAAAGTGTATTTTCAAGAATCACTTCGACCAAAACGAAATACCGATAAGGAATACGTGTGTGTGTGTGATTATGGCAAAGCCTCGAGAGCTCTCTGCCTAAGGGGAGGGATGCCTTCGTGGAGGACTTTCTAAGGGAAACTGGCTCGTATACACGTTACACACGGGGAAAACCACGAAAACGCCCATGTAGCCAGCCCGTTCGCGGGATTCGAACCTCGGACCGAACTACCAGTGTTCAGCGACTTTACCGCTCGGCCGCTGGTGGGCCCGATAGGGAATACGTCTAGAAGTCCTAGATTACATACTCCGAAAGAGGTTCGAATCCCCGCGAACGGGCTGGCTGCATGGGCGTTTTCGTGGTTTTCCCCATGTGTAACGTGTATACGAGACAATTTCCCTTAGAAAGTCCTCTACGAAGGCATCCTCACTAGGCTCCTCACTAGCCCTAGTGTGCTTTGCCATAATTAAATAAACCAAATGTTAGCTGTACAGACTCCGAAAGAAGATACCATTGGAAGAAAAATAATGTTAATAATGAGATGTTCATAAAAGGAAAGAAATGAGGCTAACACTCCAAGATATTAAACAGGATTATGAAAAGCTGTTAAATTAAATTTTCTTTTAAATAACTTTAAAACAAAACATGCGCATTTTTATATTTATTTTTCTCCTAAGTACTAGTAAATTAGTCAAGTATGTTATGATAATATTTTCTCTGATATATTTTATTTTAGTTTAAGTACTAGTCGATTTATACTAAAATAAAGAAAAATTTTATCAGAATTAAGTATACGAATCAAACAAAATGGAATAGTTCGATATGAAAAATTTTCTCAATGGCACTAGATAGGACACCTTCACAGCATAACTACAGTTGATTCTTTCGAGGCAACCTATCTTATATATATATATACAAGTGTGTGTGTAAGATAAAAAATATATAGAAGATAAATTACAACTCAAATAAGCAATACCCTTTTAATGCTTAAATTAATTTCCTCCCTCTATTCTAAAAATACTAATCTCTTTCTGCACTACGTCATTTCGAGACTAAATGTCATATGACTCTCACATAACACTGATAATATAAATAGAACTAAAACTCAAACCAAGAGAAACTGTGTTCCAGAATTTAAATTCCAATCTATTAGCATTTTATATCGAAGGCTGAATAATTTAGTGTATAATAGTAATATTTTAAAAAATTTCCTTTTTATAGATACAAAGATTTTAAAATGTATTCCTACCTTAATTATGTTAAATTCCCTCTATGAACAACTACCATACCTTAGCTATTATTCAAAATATGTAATTATTCGAAATATGCCAGCATATGATTTGGTCATGTAAATAATTTCCAAAGGCATAATTTCCCTTTCGAGTAGGGATCTCGTCTACCTAAATTACTCAAAGGACCTTTAGATTCTGAATTACAGAAACTCTGTTAAATGATTCCTGTTAGATATATTACAATACCTTAGTCTCCTAGGAATCTATTATACTATACACATGGCATATGTGTCCTGCAGTATCTGTATATGATAGTGCAATCAAGCAAGATATTCTATTGACGTCTTCCATAGCTCTCAAGCTTCACGGATGTTATTTTTTACTTATTTTTATGAATAACTTTTGAAGATTGCAAATGTATCTATGAACATAAATTAGAAACAAAGTAACTTTTCAAAATTACTTATATATATAATATATATATATATATATATATATATATATATATAATATATATATATTATATATATAATATATATATATAGATATATATAATACTGATATATATGTATGTATATATATATAATAATTCCGGAAGCATAGAAGAGGGATCAGCTTTCAGACGTGGTGGCAGAGGGTGAAGGCTTGCAGATGAAAATAACAAAACATGAACTTGACGAATTTCCAGTGTATATTTCGACTCATATAAAATCATCTCCATGGATATTTATCCAATCATAATGAAATCCGGAGGAAATTGCTATGATTCAATCATAATGAAATCCGGGGGAAATTGCTATGATTCAATCATAATGAAATATGATGAATTGCCATGTACATTGATTCTTAAAATTAAGATGCAGGCATTATAGACGGGGAAGCAAAGCGAGGAGATATTAGCAAGCTAGAAGCTAGCAGAAGTGACGTATTTATACCAAGCTTGATGTATAAGTACAGCTAATCTATGATTGGTTAGTTAGTAGCGTTACATAGCGTGGAAAGATCTCGAATTTGAGAGAACAGAGGAATTTAGAGGGACAGCACCAAATTTAGAGTGTTAATTTTGGGGTCATCAGTTGCTTTTAAAGCAGCTATCGTATTTTGTTATATCTTATACACACATACATATATATATCTATATTATTTACTTACTAAAGAAATATTGATTATCTTATCTCCTAATATAAATTTAGTAGAATGTATCAAAATGAGGTAACCCAGAAGTATGAAATTTAATTCCGAAAACTGTTTTTTAAAAGGAACTTGAATTAAATCATAGGAAAAAAATTTTTTAATGGGACTTGAATTCAAATCACGAAAAAGATTTTGAAAAGTATTTGAATTTAAATCATGAATAACAAAAATTCAAACTTTGAAGAAAATTAATAAGCCAAGTAATTATCGTCATTGATCGGAAATTAGTTGACTTTTCAAGGGGAACAAACCAACTCCCGTTCAATGAACAGTAATTGATAAACGCGAAAGTGTTTTGTCTTTTACTCAAGTAAGAATGAAGATACCAAACTGGGAAATTTAGTTAAGGGCAATATTATAGTTCCGTTAAGGTATTAGATTTTTGGAAAACTTCAGACATTAAAGCCAAATTAGACTACCAAAGAACTCATTCTGAATGTAGCATTTTCGCTAAGACAATAAATTATTTAGAAATGTTGAGTGAATACCCAAATTATGCAGTAAAAATTACATAATACTTGAGTAAAGTGTCTCCCGACACCATTGCTTTCATGCATATTAATTCAAAAGTATTTTTATAAAAATAATAAACAGTAGTAATCTTAACTGGATTTATGAAATAGAACTCAGAATAATTGAAATAAACACGAGAAACATAATAAACTACGCTATCTTTGCAAGACAAATGAAATAAAAGTTGAAAAATTGAAATATATATAATAAGATATAATGAAAATGTGAAATGTGTATGAAATACAAAAGACCAGAATATAAATTAATTAACTTACGTTCTTTCTAATGGGATATCGGTAATGTGTTTTCGTCTGTTTCTTACTCAGAAGGGGTGTTATAGTCCATACTATCCGAAATTCCGCTATCAGGCATTGGGGATATTTTGAATTATTACAGGCAGTGAACCTTTGAGAAGCTATTTTTGGTACGTGGGAGGGACGTGGTATGTGTGAGGGAGGTTGTTGCGGATACATAAACAAAAACATAAATTACTGTTACAAGACTTTCGAAAACAGCATCAACGAATTTAAAGCAAGCTGTTAACTGAATTTACCTATAGATACCTTTCTAAAATGGAAAGATGAAATTCTTAAACACATTTCTACTGCACTTAAACCCATCAAGTTTTAAAATACATTAAATTGGTCACAACTACTGTCTGGTATTGAAAATTTAAAAAAAGTTTTACTGTTACCAAAATAGATAAAGCAAGTAATAACTTTAGCATTATATGAAAACAATTCTACGCAACAGTTATTAATAAAGAACTTTCCTACGCAACTACTTATAAATTAGCAAACAATACAGAAACATTTATAATTAACAGAATTAAAACTTTTCATGAAAAACTAAATATCTCAAAATACAACAAATTTACTATCCTATATGCTGTTCCCAAATTCCATAAAATACCATTAAAATTCAGATTCATAGCAAATGGAGCTAATAACTACAAGAAAAATGTAGAATATTTATTTTGCACTTCATCTTAAAAAAATTAGTAAAATTATTTTCAACGATTGTAACACTAATCATAAATATTGCTGGATCTACAAAATAACACTCCTGTCATTAATGTCATTCAGACTATCGACATACAAAACATCCTTCAGAAGTAATCTATTCTAATCTACTAAATCTGCCTAAACGCTTCCCTGCTATGCTCGCGATTATGAACTTTAGTAAATGGAAAACCTACCTAAAATGCACCATTTTTCATAACTACATTAAATTTCAAAATCAACTTTTAGCAGTCATAGGACTTCCAATGGCGCACATCAATACTACCGCTGTAACTCTTTTTTATTTACAAGAATTACCTTCCAGCAATTTACAACATCAAGAATTAAATTACTACACGCACACAACAGTAATGATGATCTCATCGCAAAATACCACGACTACTTGATCTTCAATAATTAATACAAAATTTACTATTTAACAAAAAGAAACTTCAATTTCAATACTAACAAATTAATAAATTGGACTTCCAACATCTCCAACGTATAGCAAACTATCTTAATCAAATACAGCGTATAAAAATATTCACAAATACGATAGATCTCAACGCGAAATATGTCCTTTCCTTCTCAAAGAATCTAATACTTAATCGATGTATTAACTTGTCTTAAAAGACCAGGAGTTAAATACTCTCATTTAACTGATAGGGATATGAAAATTTGTTCCTAAACCTGAAAAGGCGGTATAAGTTGGATGACTATCAGTTGGAGGATTTGTATATAGTGTAATTACAAAATTGTATATAATGTAAAATACCATAGTTTTCAGACATTTCTTAAGCTGTTACTAAAACAATGAGCCTATTTCATACTCTGTAGTCTGCTAAATAGCTCGTTATCAAGAAAATTACTATTTTTCTTCCTTTCTTCATCGTTATGCCACGACAATGAGCTAGAAATTAATTAATTTCCATTCACTGGTTAGTATATTCAAAATTTAACAGACGCTTTTTCACTCACATAAGAACTCCGCAACAACCTCCCTCACGCATACCACGTCCCTCCCACGTACCAAAAACAACTTCTCAAAAGTTCACCGCCTATAATAATTCAAAATATCCCCACTGCTGATAACGGAATTTCGGATAGTATGGCCTACAACACTTCTTCTGAGTAAGAAACAGACGAAACCACGTTACCGATATCCCACTAGAAAGAACGTAGGTTATATAATTTATATTCTGGCCTTTTGTATTTCATATACATTTCACATTTTCATTATATCTTATTATATATATTTCAATTTTTCAACTTTTGTTTCATTTGTTTTGCAAAGATAGCATAGTTTCTTATGTTTATTTCAATTATTTTCAATTCTATTTCATAAATCCAATTAAGATTACTTCTGTTTATTATTTTTATAAAAATAGTTTTGAATTAACATGCATGAAAGCGAGGGTGTCGGGGGACACTTTACTTAAGTATCATGTACTTTTTACTGCATAATTTGGGTATTCACTCAACATTTCTAAATAATCTATTGTCTGAGCGAAAATGCTACATTCAGAATGAGTTCTTTGGTACTCTTAATTTGGCTTTAATGTCTGAAGTTTTTTAAAAATCTAATAACTTAACGGAACGACAATATTGCCCTTAACTAAATTTCCCAGTTTGGCATCTTCATTCTTACTTGAGTAAAAGACAAAACACCTTCGCGTTTATCAATTACTGTTCACTGAACGGGAGTTGGTTTGTTCCCCTTGAAAAGTCAACTAATTTCCGATCAATGGCGATAATTACTTGGTTTATTAATTTTCTTCTTCAAAGTTTTAATTTTTGTTATTCATGATTTAAATTCAAATACTTTTCAAAATCTTTTTCATGATTTGAATTCAAGTCCCATTAAAAAAAAATTTTTTTTTTCATGATTTACATTCAAGTTCCTTCCACAAAACAATTTTCGGAATTAAATTTCATACTTTTCCAAGGTCCAGGGTCGAAATTTTGAACAACTTCTTTAATGACGATCGTTATCTATTTTTGTTCTTATTTCTTGATTTCTGCTGTACTAAGCATAATAAACATGTTTCCTCACCCTGTTCATGGTCTTCTTTCTTTTGCTTTTTGTTGATTGTTTGTTGCTTATTTTTTAACACGAATGTAACTCAGCTGCATTAAAACTCAAAAATCCGAGTAAAGTTTAACACTTAGGTAAATGCTAGAAGCTAACTAGCTTGGAATTGAATGGAAACGACAGCTAAACATTGGTAGTCGGTATGGACTGTAATCCCGGAAAACGTGCTAGATGCATACGTGTTTTCATAGACTTCCCCATCCGTAGCGCTAATACAAGTGATTTTTCTGTACTAATTTCCTCACGAAGGCATCTTTCTCATTAGGTAGATAGCCTACATGAGCTTTGTTGCCTTCCGTAAACAAACACTACCCCAAAATGAAAATAAAATTTTATGAGTTACTCCGTAAGTTCTTCAGCAGCTTCTGCCTGTTTGTAGCTTTTCATCACACAATTATTCTTAAAATTGTTGTTTACGCCTCCAACAATGAACAATAATAAACTAATTCCTTACAATAAACTAATTCCTTACATTATGAAAAATTTTGGTTAGTTCAGAATAATTGAAAATTATTGTATGAAACTAAATATTTCACATCATAATTGAGATTTCCTGAAGACAGTCTAGACAAGTTTAAAATGAACTTGTGGGTTTTGAAAGTAAAGCAATTCATCTCATAAGCAAATGCATTTTCTTCGCCTATTTATCTACAAAAGTGAAAAAAATTTCAAACCACAGTTCTGAAAGTTAATGTCAAATACGACGTAAACAGATTGCCTACAGTAAAGGGTAACAGATGGCGGTAACTTTCCTTTTCAACGAAAAGATACTGTAATGCACATATTATGCTGCTTTAATCAATAAAGCTCCATTAAGTTGCAAATTAAAAAACCTTGTCAAAAAGTAACAAAAAACAATATTACTTACAAGCTATTAATACATCTTACCAATGCTGAACTTCAAATGAACAATCTTACTCCTTCAATAAAATGTAGCGGAGGAAGCCAGATGGTATAGGGCTGTATGTGCGTTTTGAAATCTATATTTTGTTGATGGAAAAATAAATAAATTCATACATTTAAATATTTTAAAGCAAAACTTCAAGCAGAAGGCTCAAAAATGGGCAGATTTTTCACATTGCATACTTCATCAGGACAATTATCCCAAGCATAGTAAGAGACCGAGCGTCGCTGAATACTAGCACTTCGACCCAGGTTCAAATACTGCCGAACAGGAGTGCTGCATGGGGATTTCCTCACGTGCCACAAGCATACACACCAGTTTTCCTTAGGAAGTCTTCCGCAAAGGCATCACTTAGACAAATAGCCCTCGCTTTCTTTTTTGACATAATCATGCAAACCAAACTAAACCAAGCTCAAGCATAATGCTTTTATTTTAAAACTGAGGAATTTATACAACTTCTTTCCTTCCTCAATGGCCCAACAGCCCAGGATGGGCCTTAAGAAGCTTTTTCCAGGCTGTTTTCTAGTTTTACATTCTGGGGGTTATTAATTCCGCTACCTCATTATCCGGCTTCTCCCTGCTAGCTTTTTCTAGTTTTATGCTTTAAGAGTAGTAGGTCATTTTCTAGGCAGTCAAACCATCTTCGATTTGGTCTGTCTTTTTATCGTGTGCCTGTTGATCTAGCGTTGAAGACTTCTTTTGATACACTGTCTTCATACATTCTGATAATGTAGTCTGCCCATTTTATTCTTTGGCATTTAATGAAATGAATGATGTTAGTTTCATTATATGAGCGATATAGCTCCAAATTTGATCTTCTAAGCCACACACCATCTTTTTAATTTTACAACATTATGCAACTATTCACACATAATCAGAACGTCTGAGCAGAATCCAGACCTCAATCCTATTGAGCATATTTGGGGGTCTTTTGCAAGGTAGAATTGATAAATCTAAAATTTCCAGCAGAATTGAATTTAGACAAACCTTCCCACAGAATGGGAAAAAATAGAAACAAATTTCTCTCAAAACCTTGTGAACTTAATGCCTAGAAAACTCAGTGAAATCATAAAAAGGAAAAGAGGTCCAACACATTATTAAAATGTTTTTTAGAGTTTTCTGAAAAATATGTATATATGTGTATATATATATATATTTGTTTGGCTCAGTACTTACCAAAAATTGTTTGAAAGTTTGTTGTGCCCCAACACCGTTTTGACTCACTGTATCTGCAATATGCTAACTATTACAAACTTGGCGAACACCTCCTCGCTTATCCGTCCGGTACTAAGCCGATCAAAACTCGAATTTGCATTAGTGAATTTTCTAATATTACAATTTTGTGTTAACGTCTTATTCTCACAATTTAGTGCTACCTTCGGTGCTAATCAAAATAGCTCTACAAAATCTTGTACAATGGCAACATTCTGGGGGTTATTAATTCCTCTACCTCATTATCCGGCTTCGACCTTAATGACATTTCCCTTTCGCAAAATAATAGCATCAATTTATACCTACCATCTGATATTTGTAAATTATTCAGTCTCTGGTCGTGCTGTGTGTTTTAGTGACTGAAATGCCTTAATTCAACGCCGCTTTCAATACGCTGAAATTATACGTTTCTCCTCCGACTTTCCCCAACAAAATATTGCCAGTGGATTTGTAACATATTAATGCTTCCTTCGCAATGCCGGTACATTATTACTTTATGTTATTCTTTTACTAAATAGAACAAGAAATATTTCGCCAATGCTTTCAAAAACTCAGCACCATGCTTTATCAATCAAAATTAGCCTTTGGTTTCACGGACACTCGATGCAATCTAAAAGAACTGAAATTTTTCTGATTTTTTTCTAGATATAGTAACTGATTGAAATCTACTTGCAGATTAATCTTAAGTTGCTAATATTAAGTGTCAAAATCACCTTGAACTACCTTGCCTGATTTTACATTGGAAGCCAGTATAAGGTTCAACTCAGTTTTGCTTAAACAAAAAATTAGTCTAACCTTCTACCCTGAGAGATGAATTTTCGCCTCGGCGATTAATGTAGTGTCAAAACACTACGTGAATACAGAAGAAATAATAAATAAATGTGACTTCAGTTTAAAATACAGAACTAAAACTAAAGGACACAAATTAATTTCTGCTTCTTTTGAGAATAACAAGAAACTCGGAATTCAAATTGTTTACAACTCACAAGTTTAAATTCCATCCTACACCTAGCTCAAAAAATTTAATGCGTTATGAATTAATATTCAGCAGCAGAAGGAAAACACTACTAAATAGAAAATAACGCTTGCTAACAACCAGAGAAGTATTTTACGGTCGCCCAACGTTACTAGTCATCATTGTCTTAACTAAGATTCTTACGCTTATTTAAAACTCCTCTCTTAATTTAGGTTAGACTATTTGAATATGGCAAATCACGCGGAGCTACCTACTTAAAATAAAGGATGCTTTTGTGGAGGACTTTCTAAGAGAAACTGGCTTGTATTAACGTTACATACTGGGAAAACCACGTACTATTCGAAAAGCAACCACACATCGGCCTGTTTTCTCAGGTTAGATCCTGGGTCGAACTACCACAGTTAAGCGGTTTTATCGGCCAATGGTAGAGCAGTTTAAAACTCCTCTAATTTGTATATTCTGGTAATATAAATGAAATCACCGTAGTATATAATTAACTTTAACATGAGCAAAACGTGTTAATTGAAATAGCCTTACACTCTGTCGGTGATAAGAATGAACTCTCTTTTGTGATCAACTCAGTTGGGCACGAAGCTGAGATTTTTCAACTAAAAAAATTTTGAGTTGGTTTTTCACCCAGGCAAGACTCTGCTTCTTCTGCATTCTATCAAAGTTCACTCAGATAGAGTTCAGTGAGAACAAGCCTTAATAAGAAATTTGTTGGAGAACGTAGATGCATCAGATTACAAAATTTTACTCTTGGAATTGTTCTCGTGACTTTTGGCATTTTGTTAATGATTCTATTTGTGGTTTTCTGATCACTGTTTAATATGATAAAAAAATGACCCGTCTGCTATGCTTACGATGTCAGAGTGGAAGAGTAAGATATAACGACCGCTATTCCTATAGGCAATGCAGACATCTCAATATAGAAATGGAGGTTTTGTTTATTCTGGTCGATATAACTGCTAAGTAAAAAGTCTGAAATTTCGAATACCATAAAATAAATTTCTAATGATGCTTTAGGAATTCTTAATTTCTTCCAGAATCCTTATATTAAAGAATAATCAACATCAAAGGACTGAACCAATAATCACATTTACCAACCTCCGATCTTCTAGTGACAAGGCATCATTATAATTAATTTAGAAAGTACTCTTCATCATAATCTAGAAACTTCTACAGAAATCGTACTTTCTATCCGAATTGCACATCTCATAAACTAATGTTTTAAACATATTGCATAAATATCCACTGTCGCAATTCTCTTTCTGGGATATGTATATGTGTATATACATAAATCTGATTATATAAAATTCAATTTCTGGGATATGTATTTTAAATTAACCTTTAATTCGAAATGTTAATATTGCAACCAGACCAGCATGTTGAAAGTTTTTAGTTTTTGAAGATGTGCCTCATAGACTCGTAGATAAAGGCTAACCACCATAAAATTTCAAACTAACCACCATAAAATTTCAAAATTTCTCAAAATTTCATCAAGGAAAGGACACGTGTTAAGTATCTCGAAAAGGAAGAAATAGGTTAGTAAACTCCAAGTATTTCAAATGAAGATTAAGAAAGTGAAGGTATACTGCACCAAAGAATGTGATTTTTTTAGGGTGTTTAGTATCTGTGAAAAAGAAAAGAAAATGAATGGCAGTTATCTAGCATATACATACCACAGATTTTATAGAAAACGGACTGAGGTGCTAAGGATTAACTGCAAAATTAAGCATCAATTTATCACAATAGTAAAATAAAACATCTTGAAAAGTTATTAACCTAAAAGTAACTTTTCAGTCATTAACTAAGTCATCAAATCGGAAGACAAAGGATCAACAGAAATATCACATGACCTTAGCAGTTATTTATCACAAGATTAATGAACTGTAGATTTTATTACACCTTTTAAATAGTTAACCAATAAAAATACTAAAAGCTGTAAAAGGATTCACAGTCCGCATTTAAAAAACCAGCAGAAAGGAAAAAAACAAATATTTCTGTATTTTTCTAGAAACATACAATCACAATGAAATTCACTCAATCATGTAGAGTTTCGATCATTTATCTGATGAAAATGCTGCAATATTGGATGTACTAGTCTAATTCTTTTGTAACTTACTTCAAATGTAAAAAATATATACATATATATATGTATGTATGCTAGAAGGCTAGACTGAGAGGAAACTATTTAGAAAATTAAGCAGACAAACGGATAGATAAGTATTGTTCTGCTTTGCCTTTCTAAAATTGTTCAGCAAGAAAAATATTTAAAAAAAAAAAAAAAAAAAAAAAAAGATAAAAGGCCTTCTCATGGTATTTAGTGTTTCTTTGAGAAATCAAAGTTTATTCGCTGGCCACTGCTTAAATATGTCTCCTGCTATCAAAAGTAGCTTAAAAACACGCAGGTTGTTTCCTGCAATGCCACTTGTACCCACGTATTATTATCTCAAGGCTTTTCGACAAATCATTCGTTCTCGGGATGTAAAAGCCCACGCGTCTCTTAAATGATGGTATCAGATCTGGACGTCTGATCTTATTTATGTGTTTAGAACCAAAATTGAAAGAAAGGGCACATTATTTCACCATGCAATATCACTTTAAACTGATGAAAGAATCTTAAATATAAACATTAAATAAGTTTTCTTAGAAATCTTTGAGAAGCTTTCCTTTATGAAACCGCAAATATTTATGCTATCCAACAGATTCAAGACCAATGCCTTCGTTTCATTTTTGATACTCGGTGAACAAGGAGGAGATAAGTATCTAAACTTTCATCTTTATTAGATTCAGAACATATCGTCTCGGAATCTTTCCAAAACATTCTACTGAAGAATAAAACTTGGGAATTCTAAAATATCTTGAAAATGTATGACATTTTTCTCATACTGCGTTTCTCTATGGGTCTTACGTTACTTCCTATCCTGATTAATTGCCAAGATCGTGTAATATTTCGGGAGGAGAATACATCTGCTATAGAAAACCAAACTAATTATTCGGAACCACAAAAGGTAAGTTCAGATTTTCTGCTTGAAATATTTTCTGTGTGAAAGTATACAGTCTTTCTCATAAGTATAGCAAAATGCTTTAAAACTTATGTAAAACGTAAATTGATATACTTATGTAGTAATAACATTAATATGTTTTTTATGTCTATCTTAAAGTGTGATAATGTATTTTTTAACGGGAAGTAATGAAAAGAGAAAAAATTTCTCCCAAACTAATAAATAACACCAAACATTTACTTAGCAAAAAATTCCGTTCTAATAAATTTGCAATATTTTAAAATAAAAAATTTGTTTAAACGCTTGTTAAATGTCAATAATATTATTCAGAAGAGCTTTTTCAGAAGAGTACATTTTAGTTAATTTCTGTATTATATGGCCTTTATTATATATACATGTGTGCTCGTTTTATTAGAAACAAGAATTATTATTTTAGTTTTCATTAAAATGATAAATAATTATATTATTTTAAAAGTTAAAAATACATAGGATGGGATAGAATTCATAGCATATAAACAAAACCACACCCTAAAACACAGCAACTTTTTTTAATTATTCTCTATTTCAAGTAGTAATTATAGGAGTGCCATTTATTAATCTATTCATTAATTAGTGTCTGCATATGACTTCTGTTAAATAACTATCCGGCTTCATTGTACATTCTTCGAAGCGGTGGTGGAAACTATCCATTACTCCTTGTATGTATTGTTAAGAATATTAGTGACGAAATGTCTGTGGCTATCAAATCCAATATTGTGGCGCGAACATTTTGCCTAAGGTACCCACAAATGAAATTAGATGGAAAGACCGAGCTTCCTATTATTCTCAAAAAAAAAAAAAAAAAATACTATCCAGTAATTTCAGCGGAAGCAGCTCCGTATCAAACAGGGACACAAACGCTATGGGCGGATTTAATGTGCAGATAAGGCAAATATGGATGTAACTATAGCCAATGAATGTCATGTAAGGCTTCTGCAAGATTCCATCCGACCTCAGTTATGGATGCCATGGTGAATATGAACCATTATGGCTCCAATCAGCTCGAGCGACCAAGCACATAACCCAAAAAGAATATATGGATTTTTTGCTTTAGACATTTCGGCAGAGTCACGTTTCTCGTTATGATGGCATCGCTTGGCTTCCCGATACCCCAGTCTAAAAAGTACTGAATTTTTTTAGTACTGAATTAAAAAGTACTGAAATTTCTATGGGAGTACCTCATAAAGTTTGGTATTTTTCCAATTATCTAATAGTATATAAACACTTGATAGACTTTAAGCAAATTATCTAATAATTATCTAAGTCTAAATAACAACTGAGCATTGAGAAGGGTGTAAAAGATATTTTTCTTTGAAAATAAAGAACTGAAGGTCCTCCTGGTGCTTACAAGCTCAGTCAGCACTTATGGCGAGATAACTTAAAGTAACAGTAGTCAAATTTGTAATGAAATTCAAGTAAGCTAGTAGCCGAAAGCTACATAAATCAATTTAACATAAAGTTGACTCAGCTGCCATGGAGACTCAATATCGGCGATTATAATGCAAGTCCGAAAACTACAAATCTTATCTGATCTAACAACCTAGTAAAGTGGCCTCAAGAGGCAGAACATGCTCGGTCTTACAATCTATAAATACTCGCGAACTAATTTTCATTCTGGCAGGGAAAAGGAAGAGAGATGTGCCAGTAAAAATCCAAAACATAAACCATAACTGGTTATTTAACATAAAGAAACCTTACAACCTAAGCTACATGTCTTCTAAATGAGTTGTGCCATGATATTGAAACTGAATGACCACATCAAAGCTGTCGTCATCATAGGACTTGTAATGGATATTATCCAAGTCGATTTGAGAAACATTTGGTATAGCTGGACCATCATCTGACAGAGATCATTTTCAAAACTGACTGATAGATGACATTTCTGCAATTTATATTTGACATAGTGAATAATAAATAAAAAGCTACCATTAGCTTAGCATATGATGTTATGAATACGCTACCAATTCTGCCGCCCACTATATAATTAGAAATGTCATGGGAATCACAATAAATATCATTATTTACAAATATATTTACGCTATCAAACAACAAATGTATTAAGAGCGTGAACAGATAATGTTATGTGTATCAAACAGTGTAACAGTGATTAAACATTAAATGTGTAGAATTTTCAATAAGAACGAATGCTGGAAGCTCTATAAAATTTTGAAACCTTCGTTAGAAATATAGCAAACTAGCATAAAAAAACCCTTCAAACTGAACCTTCCTAGACAGCGTAAGACAATATCTTTTAAAACACTATAGCTGAGTTGAAAGACGACCAAATTCTTTTTGAATTTCAAGTTTTATTTTTACTCTCTTTTGGTAATTTTATAAGGTATTTCTCCCACTTTCTTAGCATGACTTTGTGGTGTAGTGGTCAGCACACTCGTCGGTTATTCGAGAGGTCCGTGGTTCGAGTCCCGGCGAGCCATTGCTTATCTTTCATGTCTTCTGATTCCAAAAAAGTACCTAATGTCTCTACAACTTAATTTTTACTTTTCAGAAAAAATTATTTAAAATCGTTTCTGCTGACTAAACAGACGCTTTGAGTAAAACATAACGATACATGTGAAAGAAACACATGCAAATGTTAAATATAAAACTAGGCACAAACCAGCCAATTAAAAATCTGCTAAATTATACTGAATTAGTTTCCGTGAATTAGATTTCTTTTACGTCGCTTTCCTCATTTCTAACAATCCACATATTTAGTTAATGGCATTCATTCTAGTTTAGTTTTTCCCGAAGCTTTTAAAATTTTAATCTTTTATTTTTTATTTTTTATTTCTATTACGTAGATAATGGTACGTTTGTTCAATGTTTCGACTCTATCTGACTTATGTCCCTGCTCCAGCGAAAAAAAAAAAAAAAAAGAAAAAAAAAAAACTTTTACTTCATAATGAAAACTGATTTAATTACTCAACTCTCTCTAAATCCATACAGTTTCCGTAAAACCAGTGTCAGTCTTAGTTTGGATTCTGCCTGATTTTGTATAATTACATGTACTTTATATAAAGAAATTTTATTAAATTTCAACCAGGAATTTTTCAGTTTTCAACAGTTCATGTTTTGTTAATCGAGCTTGAAAGAAGCACTTTGTTAAGTTATAAACTATTCTGACTGAAGAAAATATAATTTACTTTAACTGAGTTTTTCCTGCTTGAAAATCCTACATTTAATCACAGTCGGAATACTATCTTATTTTCTTTATAATTTATTTTTTCCTCGATTATTAAACCTTTCTCCTTTATATCCCGATAAAAGCAATCAGCAATTTTTTAAAACCTTCTGTTGGATTTATAGGCACTGGATTCTTCCTTCTTTCCCTATGCTGTGTTTAGAACCTACACATTTTTATTAAAATGGCATTTATTTGCTTTTTTGCCTCATTAATATCTTATAATACTACTTTGCTGTATACAATGCACTTATTACTTAAATTTCTCTATGGCAAGAGACTTGACAAAACCCAAGTCACTTTATTTTTTATATGCAGATACCTGAGAAACTGCTAATACAGATGAAAAATGTTCGAAGCTTCTCTGACTTCATGAACCGTTATGTTAAAAGAGATTACGATTTCGAAGACCCTAGAAGTGAGTTCTGTTATCAGTCTAAATATAATTTTATTATATTCAGCACTGAACATATATATCCAACATTTACTTTTCTGTGAAGTAATAAGGATATATCCTTGCCCTCGTTTTTGCAATGCAAAAAGTTAATATCTTTGTTTCTGCTGTTTCGTTTGAAGAAAACAGTTTTATCATGAGATGTCTAGGATTATTTAGAGAAGTCTATAACGCGAAACAACATTCATAATTAATTTCCGGATCAAAATTAATTTTGAAATCATATATCGCTTCTTTACCTTCAAACATATTTTGGATCTCCTCTAAACTTGTCTTGGTCTCAAGACTCGGTTGTCTCGGTTCAAACAGTCTTGGTCTATAATGTTACTCAAATAACAGATTAATTCTTAATGAATTTCTGCATCCGTTGGAGTTTTTCTCCTCTCGCTTTATTCGCGAGCAGTACTAGTAGAACCCAACTTTTTACATGTGTAATTAATAGGAATATTCTTTGCATTCAACTAATCTTTCTACCATAGAACTAATTCAGCTCTGTGGAAAAGAAAGCTTATTAAATACAAAAACCACTATTCATATTAATTTCATCTCTAGCAATGGATATCGGAGCGAGAAATTTCTTGCAGTAACTAAAGAACAGCAGAAACTGATTGAATGAAGTATGTGTTATAAAAAACAACATGCTCATTAGCTAAACAGTCTTTCTACTGAAATGTTTTACGTGAACAGAAACTATTTTATGTTTTTATACCTTAATTAGCAGCTTATATATCTATATCTATCTATATATAGATATATATAATAAGAATCCTTTTCGAATACATTCCTTTTATTTTGTTTACTTAATGCATGTTTTTAAAGAAATTCGAACACGGTTCAAGAAACAAAAACAAATTATGGCCTAAAAAACATCAGAAAGTGTTTATTGGAAATGTGTATACTTCGTTAAAAGTTTTAAGTTCGTAAGTTAATTTGTTTGCTTAACTAAATCCATGCCTCTCAGAAAAACTATTGTTTTGTTTTCAAATTAAACAAAAATTAAGACAGCAGAGGAACCAAAGACACGTGCCACTACCTTTTGTTGCTTTATTTTGCGACTTAATTTGTACCATCATGTACGAATTATTAATTACTCTTGTTTCCTTTAAGCACTAAATATATATGCGAAAAATGTTTGAAAAATATATGATTTCAAGCGAATAGCAAGTACATATGGTGAAAGACGTTATATTATTTTCCTTTTTATTTCATGATCTCCTAAGCTAAATAAATTTTTACCGCAATGAATCTTTTTCATATTTTACAATCTAAATAAAACAGTAGTTTTTTTTTTTTATCGATCATTACAAAAAAAACTAGACCCTCAAAATAATAGCTGCATCGGAATAAGTGTTTAGTTTGGTTTCTCATCATCAAACAGCAAAACAATCAAAAAATCATCAAACAGCAAAACAATTTCCCGTATTAAAAAAAATATTAATTCTGTCGTAAACTTGCTTAACTGTAATCTAAAAAATAGGAAAGAAACCAGAAAGGAAATATTAACTTTTTCATCAAAACATATTAAACACTGAATATGCAATAATCCTTTATTTGCATTTATTCATTAGGCACTTCAAACTTATCCAGAAAGTCATTCACTTTTCTCCCTAAAGCTGGGCTGGGATGCTTATATTGATGCTTCTCCCCTCATCAGTAATTTTGCTTGCATTTTGCTGCTAGTAAGCTAAGAAAGGTTGATTTTTTTATCACCAATTATGTTACTACTTAGTACCTCAAACCAAGTATGTTACTACTTAACGAAAGTTAAGTTTACCTTTAAAGAACTGTAATATGAGTGTATGACGTTTCGTATTTTAAGATCCCTATATTTCGTGTTTTAAAATCTCTCAACGGGACCGCTTCATAACGGTGACCCCACATTACGGTGCTGCATCGTAAATGTAGGTTGACCGCTGTTCGAAAAGAGAGAAATCTTCGTAAATGCTGATGTACAAGAAAGCTTTGCGCAAACTAAAGATTCGTGTTTCGCTTGAAACTGATTGTCGACTCCCTTATACCAATCCAGCGTTTTTCATAAAGGTGAGCATCTGCGTTCCTTTATAAAAATGGCTGCCCCTGCTTTCAGGACACTCAAATTTCGAACGCTAAAGAAACTAAAATAGCAGTTTGCAAAACATATGGGTTGCGTCATGAAACAAGTTTCGCTGGCAAGTGAAAAGATATTTTAACATATTTCTTTTGTTTCAATTACGTATATTTATTTAAATTAGGAATTTATTTATAATTATTAACTTATTGATTGTTGATAGTTATTCGTATTCAGTTATTATTAATCCGTTATAATATTATTTTCTTCGGGATTCCTTCTTTCTTTTTCATAAGGAGAAACTTTAGACGGTTTAGAAAGCAACTTTCTTATTTCTAGAGATATCGTACGTCGCTATGCTAAAAATATTTGGGAAACACTAGAAAAAAGGAAACATTAAATGTTTTGGGAGGAATTTATTAACAGTTAAATGTATTTGAAATCAACTTGTACCTTAATAGCCGAAAGATTCACACATGATATATAAACTATTAAATACAAAGTATAAAAATTCGAATATTTGATAAAATATTTAAAATTTCGTATCAGATATTTTTATTGAATTTGCGGTTTATACCCAATCCAGATCCAAAAAACGAAAGATTAGAAGAGAAGGGAAACACGCCAATGTGACAATCAAAATCGCAATAACAACCTTGTATTTAGTTTACATATATTAAAACACTCAATCGGTTTCGAGAACAGCTAAAGTCCCTCCTCATCAGGAGAACGAAATTACTAGAAAGGGGGTGAAAAGAAGAAAATAAAGCATCGGCAAAGGAGTCTCAGAAACACCGTGGTCGTAACCGGATTTTCAATCAGAGTTACACTGGCCGCCTACTTTTACTGAGACGGGCTATCTGATCAAACATATAACGCATGGAATAAAACGAAAAAAAAAAAATTGCATTTTAGTCTGTGTGTTATCTGTTTGATCAGATAGCCTGGCTCAGTAAAAGTAGGCGGCCAGTGTAATTCTGATTCAAAATCCGGTTATGACCACGTGCAGTGCTGATAACGACCACGTGTTTCTGAGACTCCTTTGCCGATGCTTTATTTTGCTTCTTTTTCCCCTTTTCTAGTAATTTCGTTCTCTTGATGAGGAGGGACCTTTAGCTGCCCTCGAAATCGATTGAGTGTTTTAATATATGTACGCTAAACACAAGGTTGTTATTACGAGTTTGAAAGAAAGATTAGTTAAAAAAAAAAAAAAAACCATATACATCCTTTTAACCCTTTATGTGCAGCAGTTTGTCAATTCGGTGAAAATGAAGTTTAGTTTATTGAAATACCTAAGTCCGCTTCCGAAAAGCACATCCTGAAAAATTGTTCTGATTGACAAAATCTTCTGCATCTTTATGCCAATCCGGTGTTTTTTATAAAGGGGCAAATAACTTTATAGCAAGAGTCGGCATTTTTTATACGGGTACGAGCAGTCTTATGCAGGTCCCCCCCCTTTTTCATAAAGTTGCCGAAGATTTATTTTATTCCCTGCTTAATGGATTAGTCAATAACTGAAACGAAAATCGGACTACAATAAAGATGTGCGCACCCGTATAACTCCAGATTGGCATAAGAGGGCCAACGATCAGTTTCAAGTGAGAAACTGATCTTCAGTTTTTGCACACTCCCTTAAGCTGCGGCACCATTATGAAGATTTCTGTCTTTCCGAACAGTGGTCGACTTGCATAACGGTGCAGTACCGTTATGCCAGATCACCTTTATGAAGGCATCACTTCTCAACTTGCTATAAATGTAGAATTTATGATCGCTCACACTAAATGCTTGCTGTGAGTAGTAATCCCCATAATAAGTGCTTCTGAAAATTCTTCAGTAACAATGCCTTACCCTTCGTTTGCTACCTTAGCGTTACGTAGACTATTACGACAAAACCAGTCACTAAACGTTTTATCGTTAGTTGCCCTTTCATCTTGTTTCCTGTATATACTCTGAAAAAGAGTTAACTTCGTGAACTGGCATAAGATCTTTGAAATACTACGTAGCTGCTACGCAAGTCATAATGTTAGAATATTCTCCATATCTCTTTGCTTTTAATGTTAACTAATCATATACTGAAGAATTACAGTTGCGTTAAAATATTTTCTGCCTTGGTTGTTCGGCCTTAACTGTTGCTAGAATTGGTTCTTTCATTCGTTCTACATCTATGCAACTATCACACGCCTTTTACTTCTGCATAAACAAAAATTATTAAATTATAAACAACGCAATGTTTCTTTAAAAAATTTCAAGCCTACGAATGTTCATAAGAGTAGAACATTACGTATCCATCTACTTTCTTTAACTTAAAACTTCATTAACTTGGTTGATTACTCTTAGCGCCATACCGTATTATATTATATGACTGAAGGTCTAAATTGTTACTTTTTCTTATAATATCTGAAGTTAAGCAGTCTTAGGATCAAGACAGATATTTAAAAATTTCAGAAAAAAATTCCTTAAACGGACTTATATCTGAAAAAAAATTAGAAATATTTTTAATACAACTTTCTTATCGCTTTACTAAAAGAATCACCAGATACAAGGTGATCGTAATTGAAGTACTCTTATTTCAAACTTTCTGGAACTCAAATGCCCTCGTTCACTTCCACTTTACAGTGTCTCCTTGCACTGCCCTTCACAGTAATCCTCAAACTCTGAAAAGTTTTTTTAACTAGTCAGAACTGAAGACGCGTTAGTTTTTCTTTCATCTCTGAGAAGTTTTCAGGATGAACGTGACGAGCCAGTTCCCCTTAGGATGTTCTTCATAAAGGCATCCCTCCTCTTAGACAGACAGCCCTCCTCAAGTCATAATCTCGATTTGTCATAACGAAAATCAAGCAAACCAAACCAATCAGGATGATCTTTGTAACCCCAATTTTCAGGCTTAAATGTCAAATACAGTAAACGAAAAAGAGCA